TAGTGAGGGTCCCATGAGCTAAAATGGGAGATACCTTCCCCCTCTTCTCCTTCTAGACCCCAGGTCTGGGTTATTTTGTTCTGTTTAATTTATTCTTCTCAGGTTCAGGTATTGGTGGTGATCCCCAGCAGACTTCAAGAGTTCGGAATTCTAGCCATAATGACCTTGGAGCTAGGATTCCAGGTAGGATGTTGCAGCCAGATAGCCTGGCAGGAAATCCCAGGGAAGCCAGGGTGTCAAGACTCAAGCCTGAGGGGGGTTTTGAACTTGGATCTGGGAATGTGCTATATAGGAACTGAACTGTAGGAATCTAAAAGAATTAAGCCTCCCCTAGGTTGGGAGTAAGTTATTTATATATTTGTGATTATACCTTGGAAATAAACATTTCTTTATAAAAGCTAATCTGATTTAATAGTTAAATGGAACTGGGGTGCTGGGGATCCCTCCCTACAATTGACAGAATACCGCCGATGGGGAATGGCACCATTTGCAGAGAGCCTAGATATTCTGAAACCCCCTTAAGGGTACTGGAGAACCCTAGGGGACATGTGATATGTAAAATACTTGACCATCAGAGAGTAGAGGTAAGAGTGGTCATATGTGTTTATAAATGTATGTATACATGTGTATGGTTTTGTTTTGTTTTGTTTTGTTTTTAATGGGAAAATGGGGTTAAGTGATTTGCCCAGGGTCACACAGCTAGTGAGTGTTATGTGTCTGAGGTTGGGTTTGAACTCAGGTCTTCCTGACTCCAAGCATGTGTGTGTACCCATATATGTGGATATATGTATATCCATTTACATGCGCGTGAATATATATAGGCTTGTCCAACAGTAGATCTCAGCTCTTTGCACTGGCATTTGTCTTTTCATTTTAGGTGAGGGAAATTAGAGGCTAAGGCCTTGTGAGTTTTGAAAAGTTAGAAAAGCAAGCCACCAGAAAGTCTGGGAGTCAGGTCCATGCGAGGGCCCAAGAACTGAGCAGTGACCTTCAGGACTCAGCCCACTGATGGCTAATACAAGGACTCATCCAGCATTGACACTGCCTTTGGATATGAAATTATTGATGCCAAAGCTAAGTAGAAACTGCGTTAAGCCTGAGCCCACTTTCCCTAAGGACTAAGGTGTTATGGGAAGAATGTGGCCCCAAAGATTTGGAGGAGGGAGATGTTTGTATTTCTGTTCTTGCTATATCTTCAAAGTAAATATTCCTTATTTTTTTTTTTTTTGCACGATTGCACAGGTATAACCTATAGCAAATTACTTGCTGTCTCAGGGAGGGGGGAAGGGGAGGAGGGAGAGAATTCAGAATACTCCCTCCAAAAAATGTTAAAAGTTGTTTTTACATGTCATTGGGAAAAATAAAATATTATTCAAAGTAAATATCTCTTTGTAAAAAGCTAATTGATGTTAATTGGTTAAATAGAACCAGAGTGCTTGCTAGTCACTGTGATTAGCAGTGTGGGGGTAACACGCTAAATCTGGCTTCACTCTGGAGGATGGAGGCATCTCTCACCAGCTAGGCGTCATCTTTACTTCCTCACTCTCACCTCCAATCTGTCTGTCGATTTCACCTTTCTGACATCTCTGGCATACACCCCTTTTCTCCTCTGCCTTGGTGCAGGCCCTGGTCACCTCAATCCTGAACCATGGCAATAGCGTGCTGGTCATTCTTCCTGCCACAAGCCTCTCCCCATTGGAGTCCATCCTCCTGTTCAGCTGTCACAGTGCTCGTCTGAAAATATACTTCTGACCATGTTGACTCCCTGCTCAACCAACCTGAATCGCTCCCTATCCCATCCAGAATCAAAGAGAAAATCTTTTGGCTCATGTTTAAGGCCATTCATAACCCAGACCCTTCCTGCCTTTCCAGTCTTCCTCCTCCTGACCCTCCTTCCCCAATACATCCCGAGACACTGACTTTCTTGCTGTTGCTCAAACAAGGCATTTTTTTTGAGTCATTTGGGGTTAAGTGACTTGCCCAGGGTCACACAGCTAGTGAGTGTGATGTGTCTGAGGCCACATATGAACTCAGGTTTTCCTGTCTCCCAGAGTCAACACTCTATCCACTGAGCCACTTAGCAGCCCCTATTTCTTTTTCTTTCTTTCTTTCTTTCTTTCTTTCTTTCTTTCTTTCTTTCTTTCTTTCTTTCTTTCTTTCTTTCTTTCTTTCTTTCTTTCTTTCTCTCTCTCTCTCTCTCTCTCTCTCTCTCCTTCCTTCCTCCCTCCCTCCCTCCCTCCCTCCCTCCCTCCCTCCTTTCTTTCTTTCTTTCTTTCTTTCTTTCTTTCTTTCTTTCTTTCTTTCTTTCTTTCTTTCTTCCTTCCTTCCTTCCTTCCTTCCTTCCTTTCTCTCTCTCTCTCTCTCTCTCTCTCTCTCCCTTTCTTTCTTTCTTTCTTTCTTTCTTCCTTCCTTCCTTTCTTTCTTTCTTTCTTTCTTTCTTTCTTTCTTTCTTTCTTTCTTTCTTTCTTTCTTTCTTTCTTTCTTTCTTTCTTTCTTTCTTTCTTTCTTTCTTTCCTTCTTGTATTTAAGGTTAAGTGACTTGCCCAGGGTCACACAGCTAGTGTCAAGTGTCTGAGGCCAGATTAGAATTCAGGTTCTCCTGACTCCCAGGGCCAATGCTCTATCCACAGCACCACCTAGCTGCCCCTGTTTCTTTTCTTGGTTGTTCCGCATGCCAGATAGTGCTTTACCTACCTCTTGGCTTCCTCTGAGACCCAGGCAGAAGCCCACATTCTACAGGAAGCCTCTCCCAATGCCTCCTAATTCTAGCTCCTTCCCTCTATTGCTTATCTCTAATATATAGCTTGTTTGTACATAATTGTTTGCATGTTATCTCCTCATTAGGATGTGAGCCCCCTGACAGCAGGGATTGTCTTTTACCTTTCTTTGTACCCCCAGTGCTTAACACAATGCATGGCTGGCACATAGTAGGTGTTTAATAAATGCTATTCACTCACTGACTGAGACTAGAGCTTATTGACACATAAAGGAATAGCGGCAAGAGGAGAAATCCCAGAGAAGCACAGCTTGAGAGGATGTTGCCAATACTTCCCTGGAATTGGTATGGAAGAAAAAAATTCTTTGAAGAAGCCAGTTAATCCCCTTGGTTTCTTTGGGGATGTCTGCTTCTTAGTAAACAAGAAACTTCGGGTTTTTCTCTGACAGGTAGACGGGGACTTTTGTCTTTGGGCCCAGAAGGCTGCAAAGAGGATTTGAGCTTTGTCTTGGGACATTTCTTTTTGGATTCAACTTTATCCCCTGGGGAAATCCTTGCCAGGGTTTGGTGTTTGTTTTTTGTTAGGGATTCAGTCTGACAAACAGCTTTTGGCTAAAGCTTTGCTCTGTCACTTGGCCTTTACATCCAGTAAAGCAAGCACGGAATGGCTATTAGGACCAATTCAGGGTAATGCATATTTAATGAAGACTTTGTTTTGTACTAAGAGAGATGGAACAAAGTGCTTTCTGCACCTGAACCAGCCATTAGTTGTTACATGGATTGATGGTAGAATAAGGATTAGCTGACCTCTGCCCATTCTTTCCAGGACAAGATGCTATGGGCTTTGGGCTACACAAGTGAGTTCCCATTCAGGGGTCTAGGGCTTAGGCTTGACAAACTAAATAAAACATATTCTGCTCATACATCAGAAGATGTATGGAAGACCTGGAGTTATAAAATGGTAGAACATTAAAGCAAGATGGGATCCTAAGGGTCATGTTGCCTCATTGTACAGATGTGGAAACTGAGGCCCAAGAGGGGAAATGTCTTGTTCAGACCCACAAAAAGCCTAGTGACAGAGCTGGGATTACAATCCAGGTCTTCTTGCTTTCATTCCAGTGATTATTCAGGGGACCTCAGAAGCCACTGAATCCAACTGATACCTGGAAAAAGAATTCCTTCAATCTCAAGGTAAGATGGCTCAACAATTATTGCAATAGCAATTGTTTCTGTTTTGTCCAGAAACGCTGAGGGTCTTCCCCTCCCAGACTGATTTATTTTGGTTGCTGTTGACTAGATAAAGAGGCCATTCATTCTCTGCCTCATTTCTTATTAAACCCTAATCACTGAATGGACATTACTTTAGTCAAACTGAGACTTGTTAAAGACCTTAGCTCAAAAAGGCCACTGCATCCTGGGCCATCTCCGGTCATCCTGATCTATATCTGGCCATTGGACTTGGATGGATCTGGAGGTGAAAGTGAGGCTGGTGACTTTTCACAGCCCTCCCTCACTTAAATCCAATTCACTTGCATGTCATGGCATCACCTCCCTGATGTCATGGTCCTCTACAAGAATGAAGGACAGACAACAACAAGAAGATAGCTCACCAAATAGATATACAGGAGCCCACACATATTCTGGCAAAAGTCTAAAAATAGCACTAGACCAAATAACGATCAAGAAACCAAAAAAGAAACTATAGTAATTGCCACCACCTAGCCCCACATTGCACAAAGAGGCCTGATGGTAAAAGGAAAGGGGCTTCTCTAGAAAAACCAGTGTCATTACAATTAAATAAAGATAGAAACCTGCCAGAACGGGACAGACTAGAAGTTCTCTGTGGGTACCTGAAGTCTGTTCCCGGGGCAGGAAGGCTGGAGGGCTCAGACTAGGAAGCTCAAGGTGGTTGGAACCTTGTACTCTGACCCACAGATAGGAGTCAGGATCTGGAGGTACCCAAACATGGCAGCATCCATGCCAGTAAACCAAAAAATCTGAAAGTCCACAGTATTTTGATGTGAGGTGGGCCCTGGAGATACAGTGCTCTGAACTCAGATGACCCAGGGAGACTCACAACCTACAGGTTGGTCCTACAGATAGTGTCACCGATGCTACCACTGCCATCTCTCTGTTACAGGCCCTCATCACTTCATTTCTGGATGATCTCAATAGCCTTCTGGTTGATTTTTCTCCCTCAAGTGTCTCCCCCTCCAGATCATCCTCCATGGAGTGTCAAATTGAGCTACCTAAAATGCAGGTCTGACCTTGTCAAGTTCCACTCCCCCCGTTCAATAAATTCCACTGACTTATTATTACTTCCAGCATTCAATATAAAATTCTTTGTTTGGTTTTTAAAGTCTTTCGTAATCTGACCCTTTCCTTCATTTCCAATTTTCTTACAGCTTTTCTCCCTCCACATACTCTACAATCATGTGACTCTGGCCTCTTTGCTATTACTTGCATAAGACATTCCATCTCTTGATTCTAGGCTTTTTCACTGACTGTCTCCCTTGTCCAGAACACTCTCCCTCCTCATCTTCATCTCCTGCTAGAATATTGAATTCTACAAGAAGTCTTTCCCAGTCCTCCTTAATGTTACTGCCTTCCTTCTGATATTATCTTCAGTTTATTCTGTATAAATCTTGTTTTATACATAATGGCTTGCATGTTGTCTCCCCCATTAGATTGTGAGTTCCTTGAGAACAAGGACTCTATTTTTGCTTCATTTACATATTCATGCAGGCATTCATTCATTTATTTACAGTGTCCTCAGCACAGTGCCTGGCACATAGTGCTCAATAAATATTTGTTGACTTGACTCCTCTTAACTTAACTTAATGCATCAAGAAAAGTGGAAGGCTGGGGCAAGAGTCCAGGTAACTGAGGTCAGGACCAAATAGGGCTCAACAGCATGATCCAAGTATGCAGGAGGGGACAGAGAATGGATCTACTACAAAGTTCAAATTCTGTAAATAAGGCTGGAGATATGAGTAAGCTGAAGACACCCACCTCTATGAAGAAATGAGTGGGATCCGGTGCATGGGCAGATCTCATCCCCTTGCTTGGTTGATGAAACTTCTCCATGAGGAGGGCTAGGAAGCTTGCTTCTAGGAGAACTATGATAGATAAGGGATGTGTATTGAAGAGACAGTGGATCACATATGGGCATTCTGTAAATAGACCCAGTTGGCTAACCATGTAATAGGGAGGACTTTTTCAATTGGTTGTATAGCTAGAGCTGTTAGTCATTAAAAGACCTGAGTCAGCTTTGGCTTTTGCTTTGCTTCATTCACATCTACAGGAACTTGCTAACTTTCTCTAGAGTCTTGTAAAACATTGTGTAAGAGGGAATGCTTTGAAGTATTCTCCTCTCTAAGGCCATCTGGCACCAGAGAAACAGATAGATAAAGTATTTACTAGGCACTCACTGTGGGCATGGCACTGTGCTACGTGCTGGGAATACAAACACAAAGAAAAAAATGCTTCAGTGCTTGGCCTTTCCTTCTTTCCTTCTTTTCTTCCTTCCTTATTTTCAAATCCCTCAATGGATAGCCATATAGTCTGGCTAAACAAATTCCTACAATAGCCGATGTGGTCAATTTTTATAAAGCTGAGAGGTATGTAAATTCCTTTCTATTTCTATTCAGCAATTGCCAGAGATTTATCAACTCTAAATTTTCTACAATTCTATTTAGGTTTTTAGTATTTTTCTTGTTTGTCTTTTCGTTAGAGTTGTCTAGGTCAGAAAGAGGTGCAATGAGACTCCTTTCCCCCTATTACAATTTTACTATCTAATTCTCTCTCCAATTTGATTAACTTTTCCTTTAAGTATTTAGATGCCATGTAATTAGATGCATATATATTAAGTATTTCTATTGATATGTTAATTATTATGTCTTTATGGGTAATTTAATTCCCATTTGTATCTTTTTATTATGACTATATTATTATTACTTAGCCTTGCTTGAAATAATAATAGTTACTACCCTATTTTTGCTCTAGACTGCCATTTTAACTCTATCTGACTCTTTGTTTTTCAAGTGTGTTTCTTTTTTTTTTGTTTTGTTTTAAGGAATTGAATTTTATTGTAATCAGTCATCCTGGTGGAAAATATTGTTTGGGTAATATCTATTCCATTTGAATATGGTTAACAACTGAACATGTTTTACTACAGACAATCAATTTGATATACACTATTTTCTGTATACAGCTGTGAATTAATTACATAGTTTATCCACACATCCCCTCCCAGGTCTTTTTGTTACAACTGCAGTAAAGTCAGCCTCTTATGAGTAAATTCATTTCTGTAACCACTGAATCCAGGGGTGGAAAGTATCTATTTGTGAAGAGTGTTGTTACCTACATTTTCATGTATAGGATTATATCCTTAATAGCATTTGATCCTCCTAAAGAAATTAGAATTAATTGGAGTGGAAATTTTTTTTTACTTTGACTTTTTTATTTCTTTATTTATATATATATATATATATATATATATATATATATATATATATATATATATATTTTTAGTTTTCAACATTCCCTTCCACAAGTTTTTGAGTTCCAAATTTTCACCCCATCTCCCCCCTCCCCCCACCCCAAGATGTCATGCATTCTGAATATCCCTTCCCCTACTCTGTCCTCTCTTCTATCTCTCTCCCCTTCTCTTATTCCCTTCCCCTTCTATTTTCTTGTAGGGCAGGATAGACTTCTGTACCCCATTTCCTATATTTATTTCCCAGTAGCATGTGAAAACATTTTTTTTAAAACATATGTTTTTAAAACTTTAGGTTTCAAATTTTCTCTCTTCCTCCCTCCCCACCCACCCTCATTGAAAAGGCAAGCAACTCAATATAAGTTGTACATGTGCAGTTATGCAAAACACGTCCATAGTAGACATGTTGTGAAAAACTAACTCTATTTCCCTTAGTCCTATCCTGCCCTCCCATTTATTCTATTCTTCTTTTGATCCTGTCTCTCCTCAGAAGTATTTACTTCTGATTAACCCCTTTCCCAATCTGCCCTCCTCTCTATCATCCCCCTGCTCTTCAAGTGTGTTTCTTGTAAACAACGTATTGATAGACTCTACTTTCCTATCCATTCTTCCATCCTCTTCAATTATGTGGGTGAGTTTATCCCATTCACATTCACAGTTATGATTTTTTTAATTAATTTATTTTGATTTATCAGCAATCACTTCCATATGCTTTTGAGTTTAAAATTTTTCTCCCCCTTCCTCCCCAAGACAGTGCACAATCTGATATAGGCTATACATTTACATTCCTATTAAACATATTTTCACATTAGTGAAGTTGTAAATAAAAATTAAAACCAGTAGGAGGAACCATCAGAAAGAGGAAACAAAACTCACCAGAAGAGAAAAAAAAAAGATAGCAATTCAACTTTCACAGTTACGATTACTATCTGTCTTTTTCTCCATCCTTTTTTTCCCCCTGTTCATGCTTTTCTTTCTCCTTTCTCCTTTTCCCTCCTCATAGTGTTTTGCTTGACCACTGCCTCCTTCAGTCTCTCCTCCTTCTATTATCCCTTTCCCTTTTCTTCCCTTTCCCCTTACTGCTTCTTCCCTCCCTTCTATCCCCCTCCCTTTTCTTCCCCTTCCCTCCACTGCCCATAGGGCAAGTTAGATTTCTATACCAACTGATTATGTTATTCCCTTCTTGAGCCAAATCTGATGAGATAAGGTTCAAACAATGCTCACCCCCCTCTTCTTTCCCTCTGCTGTAATAGGATTTTCTGTCTTTTCCTGTAATGTAATTTACCCTTGTCTGTCTCCTCCTTTCTCAGTACATTTTCTAAGATCAGACTAATCCACTTACTTGGATCCATTTAACTCACTTGATTAGATTTTTTTTATCATTACATCAAAGTCAACTAATATCCACCCCCTTTATGTATACTTTAACATGGTGTAATAACAATACAGTTCTCAAGAGTTGCAAGTGTCATCTTCCCTTGTAGGATGTAAACAGTCACCCTTATTAACAACATTTTGTATCTTTCTGTCCCATTTACCTTTTTATGTCTTTCTTGAATCTTGTACTTGAAGATCAAATTTTTTGTTGAGCTCTGGTCTTTTTATGAGGAAGGTTTGGAAGTCCCCTATTTTTCGTTGAATATCCATCTCCTCCCTTGAAAAATCATGCTCATTTTTGCAGGGTAGTTGATCCTTGGCTGCAATCCAAGCTCCTTTGCCTTAGAATATCATGTTCCATGCCCTGGTCTTTTAATGTAGAAGCTGCAAGGTCCTGTGAATCCTGACTGTGGTTCCATGATATTTAAATTGTTTCTTTCTGGCTGCTTGCAGCACCTTCTCTTTCATCTGGTAATTTTGGAATTTTGCTATTATATTCCTTGGTTGTCAATTTGGGATCTCTTTCAGGTGTGTGAGCAGTGTATTCTTTCTATGGTTATTTTACCTCTGGTTCTAGGACTTCTGGGCAGTTTTCCTTTATGATTTCCTGAAAGATACTGTCCAGGCTCTTTTTTTCATCATGATTTTCAGGTAGTCCAATGATTTTTAAATTGTCTCTCCTGGATTGATTTTCCAGGTCAGTTGTTTTACCGATGAGGTATTTTATGTTTTCATCTATTTTTTTCATTTTTTGTTTCTGTTTGACTGATTCTTGCTCTCTCATAGAGTCATTAGTTTCCATTTGTCAATTCTAGTTTTTAACAGATTGTTTTCTTCTGTTAGTTTTTGTACTTCCTTCTTCAATTGGCCAATTGTATTTTTAAGGGATTTGTTTTCTTCAGTGTACTTTTTTTCCAGTTTGCCAATTGTGTTTTTTAGGGACTTGTTTTCTTCAGTGTACTTTTTTTCCAATTGGCCAATTGTATTTTTTAAGGACTCTTCTACCTCTCTCATTAGACTTTTAAAATCCTTCTTGAGCTCTTCTAAGAAGGCTTTTTGGGCTTCAGACCAGTTCATTTCCCTTTGATGTTGCAGATGTGGGTTTGTTGACAATGTTGTCCCCTTCAGAATTTCTGTCTTGATCTTCACTCTTCTCATAATATGAATCTATGGTACATTTCTTTTTACTCATGGTTTCTTTATTCCCTGGCCTTTAAAGAGATTGAGCTCTCCTGCTGGGGAACAGAGGGCACTGACCCAAGCTTCTTGTGTTGGGAGCCTAGGTCTTGGTCACTGGCTTTGTGTGCTGGGGCTTCTTATGTTGGCAATTGGAGGTTGTAGGGTTTTGGCAGCTTACCTCGTGTTGGGCTGGAATCAGCAAGGCTGGGACTTTAGGAATATTGTAGGTT